CATCTATGTCCTCTTAACTGCCCTGCTGTGGGAAACCTTCCTCTCCTTTCCCCAGGTTCCCTTTTACTAGAAAGTTTAAAGGATCATATTTCAACCACTGCCCAGGACCACTGCAAAGCCATCTACCTACATGTCCTCACCACCAACAATACAGCAATAAACTTCTATGAAAACAGAGACTTTAAGCAGCACCACTATCTGCCCTACTACTACTCCATTCGAGGGGTCCTCAAAGATGGCTTCACCTATGTCCTCTACATCAATGGCGGCCACCCTCCCTGGACCATCTTATATCCTTTACTGCTGGAAGGGAACAGGAGAAGGCTTTGTTGTGGTTTCCTGGCTAGAGGGCTGGAAGAACCAGAGAGTCACTGGAACTGTGGCCACCTTTGGATGACAGTCACTGGCTTAGCACACAGCCTTGTTCCTTGAGTAGCTCAGGGTATGCCCAGGTCTAATGCACCCGATTGGCTGCATACATTAGGAAAACTGGCACTCCCTGGTAGCTTCAGCCCAGCAGGAAGATTGGGTTTTAACTCTACTCCACTCAAGAAATATAGAAAGTGTCCTGTTGTGGGGGTCATCAGTAAATGTAGCAGATACAGGCCCCACCCTGTGCAGCCTGTGATGGTGAGAAGAAAGTAAACAATGGCAGAACACATGGGTTCAGACCTTCCTCGTGGAGCTGCACGACCCAAGGTGCATTCACCCACCACCAGTTCTCTCCTTATTAGGTGGAAAGGAAACGAAATGTCCCAGCAGCCTTAGAGTATTAATAACCCACAATATACTACTGTACCTGTGAGTGTTTTGAAGAAGTGATTCATTTTAGAGGGAAGTAAAACAGGAAAGAAGTGACCCTAAGCTCCATAGAGCCTAGCTCACGTGAAGTCGGGCATGTATGGGCATGCAGGGGTTAGCACTGCTGAAGCATCTCCTTGTTGGGGTGGGCTCTGTTCCTCTGGAGAACTGGGAACACTTGTCTTGTAGATCCTGCCCTGGTCTTTGTTAATTATCTTATGGAGATTGTCCTATATGGCTCTACTGTACATTATTTCCCAACCAAATTGATGGTCCACTTAATGAGCCTTCTGGTATTTTTGAACAATGCTGTCATTGATCCAACTCCAAGGAGACTGCATGTGGACAGATAAGGCAGATGATGGGGCATATCGGTATCTTCCTTGACAGAACCCACGGACTACATCCAGCACCTGGGCTCAGCACTAGCCAACCTGAGTCCCTGCTCCATCCCACACAGGATCTACCGCCAGGCCCACAGCCTGCTCTGCAGCTTTCTGCCATGGTCCAGCATCTCCACCAAAGGTGGCATCGAATACAGTCGTACGATGTGATGCCATTGGGACAGCCTCCTCCAGGCCTCTGCCCTCAGCACTTTGTGGAGCCTATTTTCCTGTCTGTCTGACTTCTGCTGTCTTTTGCAAGGAGCTGGTAGCCACCTGCCGCCCCATCAGCCTGCCCCAGGTGCAGGCCCGGTGCTATGCTGGCTCAGGAGCAGAGTGGATGCCTGGTCTTCAGCAGGTAGGAACAGATGGCAGGACCTGGGGAGTCTGGTGCTTGCAGAGACAAGAAGTCTCTAGGCAGATACTGTAAGCAGTTCGCAGAGGGTCCAGAAGTGGTTTGAAGAGCAAGGGGCCAAAGACCTCAAACCACTCATCAAATTTCTTTCTGCTCCCTGGCCTTTGGACATTTGCATGCACATGTGCGCATCTGTGGAGCATAGAGCTCAGCATGGGTTATCTTCCTCAGTTAGTCTCCACCTTACTTTTGAGATGGGGTTTCTCATGGAACTTGTAGCTCTGCACTGGCTAGCTAGTGAGCCTCAGAGATCTTCTTGTCTCTCTCAGCTGCCTACCCAGATTTTTTGTGTGGGGCTAGAGCTCAAACTCAGGTCCTTAACGTTTTATACAGCTCTTGCTTTGTTTTTGTTTTTATTTCTCTCTTAAGAATTTAAGGGCATTGGATTCTCTGGAACTGGGGTTAGAGGCAGTTGTGCCATGCAGATCCTGGTGCTTGTACCCTGGTCCTTGGAAAGAACAATAAATGCTCCTAATCACTGAGCCATCTCCCCAGGACCTGAACAGATTTTTCTTTCCTTTTTTGTTAAAATGGATTCATGTGATTCAAACATTGGGAAGGTGCAGAAAGACCAAGCAGCTCCTACTGGAAGCCCACAGTTACTTCGCTTTATTCATCTTAGTGCTGCATGTAGAGGCCAATTTCTGGGTACAAAGCACTAATGCCCTCATTTGGCACTGCCTAGCAATTATCTCTAAAGCACCTAAAAACAGATTGAAATGCCCAGTTGGAATTTTTACCTTACGAGATGCACCCAATGATCGCAATCCATGTCTACACCTCAGAATTTTACCCATACTTCCACTTTTACCACCAGGACTGTCACCAGTGTATCTCTGTGTGTCATTGTCAAACAACCTACATGAGTTTCCTATGCTGACAAATTGTAAATGATAATATTCAGCCTGGATGCAACAATTTTGGTTTCTGAGAGTTGGTCTCCCAAGCCAACAGAACAGAGAATTGCAGAACTGGGAGAGGTTTGAGTACTGCAGAGCCCACTCCATTGACCATCCACACTGAGGCTCGATACACACCCAAGTGTGAGTCTGGCAGCGCTTGTATTTGTGTAGAGTTCCAGGGAGCCTGCTGGCCACTGGTAGACTGTGGGCTGGAGAAAGGCTCATGCTTTGGTATACATGACTCATCTAAAGCCCATAGGCCAGGTGACATAGGTGAGCATCCTGCAGTGTCTTCATGTGCCCTGCTCTCTTCCCTGCAGGCTCTGCTTCCTGCTTCTGGAAACTTCCTTCCACCTGGAGCCCGTGTCCTGCCTCCATGCACTGGCACCATCCCAATGGCCTGGCAGGTGTTGGCAACACTCACTGGAAAAGGGCTCACCAGGCCTCTGCCTCCTCCATCTTTCCTACAAAATGGACTGAACTTCACTGTGAAGAAAATGTGGACACTTTTGACTCTGAAGACACAGGAAGCTTAGAATAAAGAGGCACAGGAAAGAGAGTACCAGTCTTTGTATAGGAATCCCTAAAGAAGCTTAAACAGTGGAAGCAGTTCTCCATGAAAGGCTGGAGGCTGGGGAGGAGGAGTAGGCCTAGCCCTTCAAGAGAACTTAAAGCTTCAAGACTCAGCCCTCGCCATAGACAGTTAGATGGACAGTTCCCTGTTCCTCAAGCCTCCCCCACTACCCACTTCCTGTTGTCCAGAAGGATCATCCTGCCTGGTGAATCCTGGCTTGCTGTCCATATAGCTGACCTACACTGGGAGCTTACAAGGACAGGTAGTTAGCTGTTGGCTTCTGGGTTCCTTCCTTGCTCATCCTTCTAGAAGCTGAAGCTTCAAGGAGAAAAAAGGAGGCTGAGCTCTGCATTGGGCATCTCTGCTACTGTGAACCATGGGACTTGGCCTTGGGTGCAGAGGGCAGTCGGTGCCTGTGGACCTTCAGCCTCTGAGGCAGAGGCTCTCATCAGTACCATGGATTGTACTTGCAACATCCCTTCCTTTGCGCCCCCAAATGTTTGTTGCCAGAGACCTGCCCAGTATTGCTGCAGTGTCACTGCGGCCCTTGTAGGGCGTCCTCACAGCCCCTCACTGTGCCAGACTGATTAGGAACAACTTTATTGACAGGCCTCATTACTGAGTGCTTTCCTCTCTCAGCATCTCCTGGCTCAGTGCTCTGGGGCCCTACAACCAACCCGAGGCTGCTTGGCCTCAGAGAGGAAGGATCTTCACAAACTGGCCAGCAGGTGGCTGGTGTCCTGATTGGTTTTGGTTGTGTGCTGAGGCTGAACCCCGTGTCTCTTCCCTTTTCAGTCGGTGGCGATCATGTGATTTTCATTTCTGCCCTGTGTGGTCAAGGAAGAACCTTCCAGAAGGTTCTGATTTGGACATTCTTAAATCCAATTCAAAGGCCTCAACCTGTCTTTTCCTCCCTTCTGTTTCCTAATTACTGCAGTGTCCAGCCCAGTGTTGTACAAATTGTAGTATGTAGTAGTCTCATTACAAACAAATAAATCATTTCACTAGTCTCATCCTGTCTCTAATAGCTGGCTTTCCACATTTTGTGCTCTGCCCGTTGAGGGCTGAGGAGCTTGCTTGCCACGGTCTTCCTGGTGGCTCAGTCTTGCAGGCAACTATCCTGCAGAGGAGTGTAAACCTGATGAAGGCGTCCATGCTGAAAGCAACGACTGGGCTGTTTCTTAAAGATCTTTAGCAGCTGCCTGTCAGTTCACACCAGCAGTGTGCCTCTTAGCTTTGAGCTAGGACCTGGTTCAAGTAGGAAACTATAATTAATTCCCTTCTCTAACCTGTCTGTCTCCCATCTCCATCATAGCTTAGAGAAGGCTCCAAAGATAATGCAGGTCAGTGGAGGCCTTGGCTCTGCTCCCAACCAGAGTGAGTATGTCTCTGGTGGATGTTGAATGCTGTCTGGAAACAATTTATGTGGAGGATAGTGCTGGCATTATTGGGAGGCTACAAAACATCCTCCAGGGCACGGAATGGGCGTGCAACAAAAACTTGATCCAGTCCCAAATGTCAATACCCAAGGCCATCAACACCCATGTATTTGAAGTCTAGTCCAGCCAGAAGAACGCCTGTGGCCATCTTGATAGTTTTCTATGGGGCCATAAATTCACCTAAACCCCCGGTGGGAGCAGTGTGGGGTCCAGGCCAACTTGCCTGCCTTGGTTGGTCCCCTCCTGGTTCCCTCTTTAAACCAAACCCACATTTTGTCCCTTTGTCCCTGGAATGCCATGCCATGCCCTGTGTTCAGGCCCAATGAGACTTTGCCTCCTTTCTAGAGCATCTCCTGGCCCAGTGCTCTGGGACCCACAGAGCCTCCCCCAGACAGGCTCATGGCTCCATTACCCCCAGGAAAGCTCCCTTGAGTGGATGCAGGGTGGGTTTGACTGGATTGACTGGATGACAGACAGACAAGAAGATGCAGGCCTTGGCTTTTTACTGAGGTAAGACCTGAGGACTCCCTGGCTCTCAGGAACCAGATTTTCTGCTCAGCCTGGCCTCCCAGCTACACGTGGCTGACTGGAGTTTGGGCAGGCTGCAAGGGCATGGGCATGCTTCCATTTCTTCTGTCCCTCTCAAGGGACTTCCTCCTCCCTCCCTCATACTTTCCCCAGACTAGCCCAGGTCTGAAGCTGGGCAGCTCTGGGGGCCATCTCAGTGGGAGGACAGCTGCTGGAACTGAACCCTTCCTCAGTAAACCTGGCCTCCGCCTCTTCCTTGGTCATCCTTCCCTTAATGTCCCCAGCCCTGGCACTTTGGATCCTTATGTCCTCTCCAAGGCCCCAGAGCGGGTTCTCTTGCACAAGGGACACATGGTCTCCTCCAAGGCTCTCCAGGACCTCTTGGGCCTGAGTCCCAAGCAGCCCTCAGGGGGACCAGACTGGGAGGGGACACCCTTGACTGGGTCCATGCTGGAACTGGAAGCTGAGGAAAAAGGAAAGAGAAGTCACTCAGAGGGACCCAATCTTAAACCCTACCTTGGTGTCCCTGGACCTTATAACCTTCAAGACAATTGAAGAGCTTGGTGCTACGTCCTTGAAAGAACTAGTGGGGGGGGGAATGTCATGAACTCTTGTAAAATGAACTGAGGGAGAGTTGCCCAAGGCCCATCAAAATACAGAACAAGGATTAGATCTTAGTCCCAGATCTTCTCTGCCTTACACCCCCATCCCAACGGGTTCCAGCTGTGGTCCAGTTGCCTTCTACCACCCTGAGATTTCATAAGACTTAAGAGCCATCCCGGTGCAGAGTCAGTCAGTAGTGGGGCATACGGATAGAAAAATTCAACAAGATTTTGGCCCCCGGAGCAAGACATTCTTTAGTGTGTCCTGGCCACGGTGTCATTTCCTAATTTTTGGCAAGAAGGCCGGGGAATGGAAGAGGCCCATCTGAGTTCCCTTGTGTCTTTCCCTTGTGTCTCCAGTCCTTCCTTAACAGAGCTCACCTGTATTTCCCAGGCTGTCCCTGGGCAGTTGGGCTTCCAGAAGGGTTGAGCAATGGCTGTTACCTGGACCCAGAGTCCCCTGTGGCAGAGAGAGGGGCCAGGCCGAGCCTTCAGGCCTTGGCGGGCTGCCCCCAGCCATGAGCCGGCCTAGCCAGTGGCTTCCACATTGACCAGCAGGCTGCATGTGGCCTGGCAGGTAGAGAGCCAAGCTCCGGAGGTGACGTAATCGGAAGTTCTTGGGCTTGCTTGCCTGGGCACCAGGACCCTGCTGCTGCTGGGCCCCCAGCCCTCCCTCATAGATGTTGGGTGGTGTATCAGGGTGGTTGGGGCGTCCTGGGGTCCAACTCACTGCATCTGCAGGAGAGAGAGCAGGAGGATGGTGGCCAGTGGAGCCAACATCTGGGTAAAAAGATGTAAGAACCAGCTTCTATGATAGACCCCACCCCCAGGCTATCCTGCCTCAGATCCTGTCTATCCCCATTTTTCCTGTTTGCTCCCCTAGGGGCCTAAGAAACCCAGGACTTTGGCACTGAGATCTCTTTCAGCACTTCAAGCCCCTTTTTTGTGCCCTCTACCCTAGAAAGAGTATGCTGGTGCCAATATAGGCAAAGTGGGTAAAAGAGGGCATGAGTGGCCCAGTCATACAGCCTAGATTGGGAGTTACTCCCCTCCCAAGCATGCATGTCCCTGGGATCTCCCCAGTAGCTTTGGGCCCAGGTTAGGACAGAATGGCATCTCTGCTATTGCTTCTCCCTGCAGCCAGGCACCTTCTCTTATTCGAAGCTCAGAGAATGCACAGACCAAGGCTTCCATGGAGGGCCAGTATGGTGGGGGAGGAGTGGCCAGGCCTTGTGTGCAGCAGGGCCTGCTCTCCCCTGCCTAGGGGCTGGATCTGTAGGTCTCCCATGGCAACTGGCTCTTATGATGTAACAGTAAAGACTAGTCTTCTTGGCCTCCTTAGTTTGGGAGAGAATGGTATCAGGGCAGGGGCAGGGACAGGGTGGGAGGAGGGCGGGGGGGTGGATTAAACTTAGGGTAAATCCACTGCTCCTCAATTTCAGAGGAAGACACATAAAAAATTAACTTTGGCATGCTTAAAATCATTCTGTGGGGTGACCTTTGGGGAGCTTCAGCTTCTTCATCTGTCATTCAGAGAAAGAATTTAGGATACAAACCTGAAGAGATCTGAATCGTGCTGAAAAAGTGGTTCTGGATGACCTTGTCCAGTTGTCCATTTTCTCACAAGTTGTTAGTGTGTAGATAACGCCATTTCCCCCCTAAGCATGTGGACAAACTGGAACTCTTGCCTTGGTGGTGGAAATATAAAACTACAACTAAATTTGGAATCAACTCAGACACAAAACCATAACGTTTCGCTATAGAAAATTTAGTTCTCTGTTTTACATTTTGGTTTATGAACCATTGTTTTTGTATATAGATAATAGTGGAGTTTCATTTATTTGCTGTGGATTTCTCATTGTTCCAAAACCATTTGTCACAGACTATTCTCTTTGTCCAAATGCATTGTCACCTATGTTGGCCCTATTCCACATATTAAGTCCTCAGGCATCTTACCAGGAGGTCTACACCACAATGTCCCAGTCAAGGGCACCTTTACATTCTCTGCCTCCCCACCTCGGGGCTTTGCCTTCCTCTTCTCCCACCCTTTTTGGCCCAGCTCATCTCTTTCCCCTGTCCTTCTTTATCGCGGTTGTCCCCAACTTGTAGCAGCCACCAGGGAGGATTCCCTGCAGAGCTCCGCATTGGGGCGTGATACATCATCACTACTACTCCGATCTCAGAATTAACCAGTTTCCAGGACAACCTCTGGCTCATGGGTCTGGAAATTGGTTTTCGGCCTGTAGTGAAAACTGACAAGCTGTACGCACACGAAATCCCTCCGGGTGCAGTTCTCGAATTCTGCCGAGGGTAGCGTACCTTCGTTCCTGTCATTCTGTGGCTACTTTATGCGTCTTTAGCTGTTTTTAACAAATACGAAGGAAACTCGGTCAAATAAAGTGATAGTGCTCTCTATAGAATTGAGGCAATGAGAGCCACAACGGGACCGAAGCCAAAACTGCTTGATGAACGGTGAGAAGCGCCGCCTGCGGGTATGTGTCGTGCGCGTGCGCGCATTGTACCGCTTCGCTTCCTGTCTTGTTTGGCCCTGACTGCACGCTGTCCAAGTGCTCTGCAGGTTGCTATAGAGACCGGCGAGCGCTGGGCCTGCAACCTCCAAAGAGGCGAGCAGCCGCGCCCCAGTGGGCTTTTACGGACCAAACCGCCATGTCTTTCCGCGACCTCCGCAGTAAGGCTGCACCCGGCTTGCCCATGGGTTTCCCAGAAACTCTGTGCTCCCCTGCTAGACCCCTATCTGAGCCGTAGGCCCCAGACTAGCCAGGGACTGACGGAACTTTGCAGCACCTTTGCAAAGTTCTGCCCGTCACTGGCCGCGAGTGGCTAGAACACTTGGAATGTGTTTCGAGCGGCTGAAGAACTGAATGTGCCTAATTTTTACCTCATTTTATCTCAGTTTGTCACAGCCACATTTGCAGCCGCATTAGAAAGGTCATAGGAAATGGAGACTTTTTTCTGTGTCAGAGTTTGTAGAAAGAAACAAGCCAAGGAGATGACTGGATGGATGGCTATTGCTGCTAGTTTTTTGTTTTGTTTTGTCGTCATTAATTGTTGGTAATTTTTGAGAATTTTTTTAAAACAATCTGTCACATACTGTTCTCTTTGTGGGCATTATGTTGTTTACTCCTAGTCAATTCCTGTGCCCTGAGTCCAGAGATGAGGAAACAGGCAGCAACAGGTCAAAGTAATTTGGGCAAGAAAAGGCTAGAACGAGTGGCTTTGGCGTTTTGCATCCAGATTGTCTGATCGCCAAATACTGAGAAGAGAACTTTGCCCGAGAGTGGGAAGTGGGATGTCGATATTAGTCCCTGCTCTTCGGAGACCGTTTGTTATGGGTCAGACTGTTGCAGTTCGCTCCTTTTGTTTCTGTATCTAACTGCAAGTAGTATAACTTCTCATGGTTCGCACTGGAGAGAGTGGCAGGACTGTGTGACCCAAAAGCTTGCCTCCCTCACGGTGGAGCAGCAGCTATTAGGATCAACCTCGAGGGTCATGTCTTCTGGGGTCTGACGGTGTTCGAGACAGTGCCATGAGGGCGGTTCCATGTAGTTTTTGATGAGGCCAGCACTTTGCTGGGGTCGTTGAAAAGCGATGTGCTGAAAAGAGTTCTCAAGAAGAGTGTTTCAGAATGTTTATCTTAAATAAATACTGGATAGCTGTGTAATGGAGACTCTGTCCCCATCTAACTGTGGAGAATTGCTAGCGTTCCCTTAGAAGGAGGAAGTGTTTGGATGAAGCCTGACTGGAGGGGAGACTGCTACTTGTTCACCACAAGTGACAAGACAGAAGAAAGACACAAGAGACTGTCTTTCTCTTCCACAGTCTGGTGCGGTTCGCCCTGCTTTATCCTACAGGTAGCTTATTTGGAACTGTCAACAGAACGTTTTGAATAGCTGTCTTCAGGAAACATGCGTAGACATTGTACCGCCAGGAAACCGTTCACCAGCTCAGCATATTGTGGGAACTCGGAGATGTTGTTGTGTTCCTTTTGATTTGCCCAGTCAGGGTTCTCTGTGTAACAAAAACTCTCACTGACTAGAACTTACTTTGTAAACCAGGTTAGCCTCGGACCCTCAAAGATCCACCTTCCTCTGGTTGTGTTCTTTTCTTTTCAAGACGGTTTCTGTGTGCAGCCCTGGCTGTCCTGGAGCTCACTCTGTAGACCAGGCTGGCTTTGAATTCAGAGATCCGCCTTGCCTCCTGAGAGCTGGGCTTAAAGGCATGGGCCACCACCCGGCAGTTGTGTTCATTTATAAGTCCCACTTTCTTTTTCATTTGTTTTCTTTCTTTCTTTTTTCTTTTTTCTTTTTTTCCTTTTTTTGGTTTTTCGAGACAGGGTTTCTCTGTGGCTTTGGAGCCTGTCCTGGAACTCCCTCTTATAGATTAGGCTGACCTCGAACTCACAAAGATCCGCCTGCCTCTGCTTCCTGAATGCTGGGATTAAAGGCCTGCGCTACCACCGCCTGGCTTTTGTTTGTTTTCTTCTGCTTTCTTTCAAACAGTGTAGCTTTTTTTTTTTAGGTGCTCCCAACTTAACTATTACTGTTTACTAATATGTTTTTACAGTAAATATAAATACTGAAGATAGTTCAACCATTTTCTTAAAATTTCTCTGAATTGAGGTAACTGAGTTTTGAAATTTATATCATGAAAATACTATATGATCATTGAAAAGAATGCATGATCTTGAACATTTTTTTCTCGTGTTTTATGAGGCTAGGTATTTTGTTATTTTGTTTGTTTTTAATTAATTAATTAATTTTATTTCTTTTTACATACCAATCCCAGTTCCCCCTCCCTCCTCTTCTCCCGCTTCCCCCCACCGCACCCCTCATCTGCTCCTCAAGAGGGTAAGTCCTTCCCTGGGAAATCAACTAAGTCTGTCCATCAACTCCTTGAGGCAGGACCAAGGTCCTCCTCTTCCCCCTCCCCAGAGCCTAGGCTGAACAAGGTTTCTTTCTATAAAGAATGGGCTCCACAAAGTCAGTTTATACATAGAGTTAGCTCCTGGTCCCACTAGCCTGTGGCCCCATATACTGCCCAAGCCATATCATTGTCACATGCATTCAGGGGACCTAGTTTGATCCTATACAGGTTCCCCAGCTGTCAGCCCAGAGTCATTGATCTCGCACTAGCTCAGGCCAACTCATTTTTTGGGTTTCCCCAACATGGTCTTGACCCCTTTGTTCATATTATCATTCCTCCCTCACTTCGTTTGTACTGTGGAGGCTCAGCCCAGTGGTTAGTTGTGGATCTCTGCATCTGCTTCCATCTGTTTCTTGAAAAGAGTTCTAGCTTCTCTTATGGACTATATAGGCTGGTTATCCTTTGCTTTATGTCTGGTATCCACTTATGAGTGAGTACATATTATATTTGTCTTTCTGGGTCTGGTTTACCTCACTCAGGATGGTTTTTTCTAATTCCGTCCATTTGCCTGCAAATTTAAAGATGTCATTGTTTTTTACTGCTGAGCAGTACTCCATTGTGTAAATATACCACACTTTCTTCATCCATCCTTTGGTTGAGGGGCATCTAGGTTGTTTCCAGGTTTTGGCTGTTATGAATAATGCTGCTATGGGCATAGTTGAGCAAATGCCCTTGTGGTGTGATTGTGCCTCCTTTGGGTATATGCCCAAAAGTAGTATTGCTGGATCATGAGGTAGATTGATTCCTAATTTTCTGAGAATTTGCCATATTGATTTCCACAGTGTCTGTACAAGTTTGCAGTCCCACCAGCAATGGATGGGACTTACTCCACATCCTCTCCAGCATGAGCTGTCAATAGTGTTTTTTATCTTAGCTTTTCTGATCAGTGTAAGATGGTATCTCTAAGTTGTTTTGATTTGCATTTTCCTGATGGCTGAGGATGTTGAGCATTTCCTTAAGTGTCTTTCAGCCATTTAAGATTCTTCTGTTAAGAATCCTCTGTTTAGATCTGTACTCCATTTTTAAATTGAATTCTTGAGTTTTTTGTATATTTTGGAGATCAGTCCTCTGTCAGATGGGGTTAGTGAAGATCTTTTCCCATTCTGTAGGCTGCCATTTTGTCTTGTTGACTGTATCCTTTGCTTTACAGAAGCTTCTAATTTTCAGGAGGTCCCATTTATTAATTGTTGCTCTCAGTGTCTGTGCTACTGGGGTTATATTCAAGAAGTGGTCTCCTGTGCCCCATGCATTCAAGGTTACTTCCCACTTTCTCTTTAGTGAGGTTCAGTGTGGATGGATTTATGTTGAGGTGTTTGATCCATTTGGATAGTTTTTATTTGGGGCAGTAAAGAGGCAGATAACAGAAAGAAATGAAAGCCTCAACTAATCCCGAGACCCCGTTTCCCTTAAGTCTACCCATTGAACTTAGGTGTTTTCCAGGTGATGGCTTAGGTACTGTCAGTTCGTGTCTCCCTGCCTGTCTTCTCACAGAGTTGATGAATTGGGCCCCTCAGGCTGCCACTAAGGTGGGAAGAACCAGTAAGAAGGGAAAGCAGAGACTATGAGACTAACTGCTTTCCAAAGAGCTGCCATCTGACAAGGACTGATGGAATTGTGTTTTATATTGGACAGATTTCACAGAGATGATGAGAGCCTTGGGATACCCACGACATATCTCTATGGAGAATTTCCGCTCACCCAACTTTGGGCTTGTCTCTGAAGTCCTCCTGTGGCTTGTGAAAAGGTGAGGGTGCACTTTATTCATGTCTCAGCACGAATAGTGGTTTGTTTGTTGGCCAACTGGGAACTGGGAACTGTCATGATGCAAAAGGAAGAGATTAGTGAAATCCACGCAGGAGGGACTGAGTTGTAATTTGTGAAAAGTCATCAGAGCTGCCAGGCATGGTACTGCAAGTATATATCTGTGAGTTCAGGGTCAGCCTGGGCTACATATCAAGTTCCGGGCCAGCCAGGGCTACATAGTGAGAAACCCTCTCTCAAATTTTAAAAACTGAAAGAAAGAAATCACCAGAGTTTAAAGAACATGGAGGGTGGTGATTATCCTTATTGGAGTGCTGGCATGGGCTCCTCTTCAGCCCTCACCACAATGGCAGGGACTTTATACACTCCGAATATACTGCATTAAAAATACTGCAGGTGTGGCTGGAGAACTGGCTCAGAGGTTAAGAGCTTGTACTGGTCTTGCAGAGGACTTGAGTTTGACTTTCAGCATGCACATTGTTTTTGGGTTTTTGGTTTTTTGTTTTTCAAGACAGGGTTTTGCTGTAGCTTTGGAGCCAGTCCTGGTACTAGCTCTTGTAGACCAGCTGGCCTCAGACTCACAGAGATCTGCCTCTGGCTCCCGAGTGCTGGGATTAAAGGTGTCAGCCACCACCACCCAGCTTCTTAGCACTCACGTTGGATGACTCACACTGTGTATAACTCCAGCTCTAGGAGGACCTCACACCTCTGATGTCAGTGAGCACTGA